GCTGTCAAACCTACACTAGCAAGGAGATCGGGCTGAAACTATAGCTACAAGCTATCCAAGGATGGTACTATAGAATGTCACCTCAAGGTAGGCCTAGTGGCGTCATCTCTTGGTTAGGCCGGAAACTTATCAATCCACCCTCGTATGTTTGGAGCACGGCGTTGTACGAGTGCGAAACATGGACAGTGGGAGCGGCGGAAAAGAAAAGGTTAGAAGCGTTCGAAATGTGGTGCTATAGGCGGATGATGAGGATATCGTGGGTAGAAAAGGTTAGAAATGAAGAGGTATTAGAAAGAATAGGAGAACGGAGGACTTTATGGAAGTCAATAAAAAATAGGCGAGATAGGTTGGTAGGACACCTTGGCAAGCAGATTTTGTTTACAGGTGTATTAGTTTGTTTTTTTATAGAATTCTCGCATGTGCATCTTTCAATATTCAGTTGTGCGAAAAGGGAGCGCAGGTGACCGTCTTGTTTATATTAAAAACAGAAAACTGGATTGTATACTTCGTTTACTTTCTGTAGTGATGTGACCTTCAGTTTGACCGGCGCAAAGTAGAAAAGAACAGAACTAGGCCAGAATATGAAGGAGACAACTCTCGGCCAAACTTTTAACCGGTGAGGAGCGTATAATCCGTATAGTACTGCATGGAAAAATTGACCATTTACCTACTACAATTGCATTGTTCAAATGTGCTGTTGTTGGTACCATTTACTACTGAGAATATCAACGAGATGTTTATTTATATTTGAAGACATATTAAAGGCTTTAACGCTTGTTTTCGACTCGTACTACTATTCATGATTGAACTGAAACTTTTGGCAGGTAATGTATAAAGAAGTATGTTTAATGAACAAGAGTCGAGAGCATAATGAGCATTTTTCTCCATACCTACGATTTTGCCAGCGCGCATCCAAGACATTGGAAGGGGCATATCGCTATAGAAAGTAAATGAAGTATAGCATTTACAAATATCTGCAGCTATACATGTTGATGTAATGTAAAGGTTAGTGTAAAACGAAAAAACTGCTTTTAAAGACAAGAAGGTATAGTTGGGCCGTTCAAAATTGGCATCTCATTTACTTACACAGCAGACTAGAGCGGTTGCTAATAGAACGCCTACTTTTACTCACGATAGAAGGGAATATCGTAAATATAGAATAAAGATATCAGGTAAGAACTGCAGCGGACATTAATAAAGAAAAAGAAATAACACTACACCAATTGATGTGTAACAGAAAGAGTTGAAGGCAAGCATAATTTGATCATGTTGCCAGCATCGAATTTTAAAGAAAGTTCAACATCCTCAGGAATTTAGGAAATCAAGGCGTTTGCTTAGAGATATAATTCCAACCAAACAGTCATAAAGCCGACCCTGATCTTTTGAGTACCTAGGATACCCCCAACCGTTACACCGCTTATCATTATTCGGTTATCTCTTTTCCCCTTATAAAATCCCACAAATGGCGCGGTAAACGCCATCTGTAGTACAATGCTACATTTTAGGAACACGTATTCTCAACAAGTACCATTTAAATAAATTGATATGTACCTCCTGAAACAGATCCCGGCGTAGCTAACCACTACATGGTAGGCATGTTACCATAATCGAATAAAAGAAATTCGTAGTGATCTATATTCTGTCGAAATTGCCAGACACGAATCGCGATTTAAATCCAGTTGGATCTCATCAGCGCGCCGCAGATAGTTTCGACTGAACACAGACCAATTTTACCTGCTATCTTAACAGCGCGTTTTATAAAATCCCACAAATGGCGAGGTATACGCCATCTGTAGTACAATGCTATCCAACAAGATCGAAATCACGATCCGTGTTTGGCAGTTTCGACAGAATACAGACTACTTCTAATTTCTTTTATTCTTTTCCCTTTGTCTGTCTCCTCAGGAATCGTTTTCTAACTTAACAAGGGCGTGTTCAAAACGCAGCAAATAACTACAGTTCCAAGTAGAAACAAGAAAGAAGATATACTCATTCTCACAGATAATTTAGTGCGGATTTTGGTCGTCCCAGCTGTATTGTTATATAATGTGATTCTCGCGGAATTGTTTACGTAGTATTAGTGTTATCTTTCAACATACCCAACGAAAGTACAAATTTTCCGCTATGAAACAAGCTGGTTATTGTAGTTTCAAACAAACGTGATTTGGAATAGTAGCCAGTTAAAAATTAATAATTTGGTTGAAGATATCAAACAATTATTCCATTCAATAGTATATATATTTGAAGAACAGATGTTTTGACCAGAAAATTTTTTTGGGGTCCTTTTCAATTCAACAAAACTTTTAAATTCTTAAAAAAACCTGAATTCTATAATAAAAGATTATGACCGTTAACAATTAAGAAAAATAGTTTAAAAATAGAAAGGTAAAACGATTAGCAAGTTAAATGAGGATATCATATCATACTTTATTATTTAGTTATGATTTTAATTATTTTATTCTAGGTACATCTTCGTTGCTTTCATGTGGTAAATAACTGCGTAAAGAAGAGACTTAAAACAACGTGGATGGAGAATGAATTGATAAGAACTTTGAAAATGGTAAACCAAAGCGGAATTTCGATTTGAAAAGCATCCGAACGTTTTGGAATAGGTACCTACGATAAAAAATACAGTTACTGCCAAAATTTCTAGATTTTTAAGTAGGTTTCTACGGAACAAAAAAGTGAACTAGTGATTACACGTACGAGTTAGCTGAAAATTTGCACTAAATCATCCATTCGACAAAACTAGGAAATAGTCTGGTAGTCAATTGTTGTTTGATTAAAAAAACAAGAAAAAACATGTGGGACGCAAAATGAGTATTGAGCGTGGATTTAATGGTACTACTGTTTGTGGGATTGCAACTGCAAGATTTTAGCTTTCACAGGTTTTTATTTTCCGACGACAGAGAATGAACCCATTATTAATGAAAGAATGTTCATCAGGTGCAGTTGGTTATGCTAATGGTTTTGGTTGGATGGATTCGAATCATTTCATCAAATATTTAGACCACTTTATAAACAATATACGCAGATTGGCTAAGGATAGGAAAGAGAGGAGGTGTGCGTCCAATCGGTCTTAAGACTGACGACCCTATGATAACGATGATGATGATAATATAAACCACGTGAAACTCAGCCAGACCAATAAAATACTATCACAACAGTCACAGGTTGCTGTTAACAATAAAGAAAGCAAAAGAAAACAACATTACAGTTGTTTTACTTCCTCCCAAAACTAGACACCGTCTACATCCTCTAACAGCACTGTAGGTATTTGGATCTTTGAATTATAAATACGTATAAGAATGTGATTTGTGGCACACTTATAATCCTCCATTTCGCAAGCATAGAGAAAGCAGTAAAAGGCTTTAAACGAATGTGACCGGCATTAAGTATTTTCTAATGGATATTTTCTGCCTATGTAGGAAGAAACTGAATGATCGGCGACGGACGAAAGTTTCCCAAAAGGACCCTAAGCTAAAACTGCGCAGGTATTTAAGAAACCACAGCCAATATGTAACTTTTAACTTTTGCTGTGTGTTTTCATCGCTCCATAAATTTGGTTGTTTCGGTATCGTAAATAAAGAGATGAATGTCAGGCAAAGATACTGGGCGGCATGACCTAGTGGTTTAGACCAGGGATGTTACGGAGCTTCGACTCCGGTTCCGTCAAGTCGGAACTTCCGATTATTATTACACCTTCGGTTCCGACTTCGGCTCCGACACTTTTAAATCGAAGGTTTTAATCGGAGGTCGAAGCATAACATAGCGGCGGCGCGGCGGCCTGTGTCGACTGTTATGAACAGGTTCATACTATGAACTTAATACATGTCGCGTGGGGAATCCATCCGACTCCCACTACGTGCACTGAGCACTCTATCGTCAATTATTTTTTCATTGATTGTGATTTATTTTATAATTGAAAATTGAAATGAAAAAAATTTGACTACTATTTGTCCTTAAATAAAAATTCTCTCTCATGCCACCACTTCTGACTCTGCCCCCGACTCTGATTCCGACTCCGATTCCGACTCAGATAAAGCAAATTTAAAAACTCCGACTCCGCCTTCGGTTCCGATAAAACTACCTCCGTTACATCCCTGGTTTAGACCATTGCTTCGCATTCGGGAGGACGCCGGTTCGATTCCGGGCCTGTCCGCCTTGGTCCAATTTTTTCTGTGGTTTCCTTGAATCACTTAGGTAAATGTGGGGACAGTAATATCTTTCATTTTCTTCTTTCTTCATTCCGTCCGTCTCATCTTTCTCATCAGAACCACCACGCACCCATTGCCACAATTCCTGAAAGGAGGCTGAAGAGGGTATTCCATCCTACCTTCCGGCGTAGTCCGGAGGTACTGCCTGCACACCAGCATTACTGGCTGGTGGGAGTGAAGCACCCAAAAGTTTATTTTTTCGGCAAAGATGTGACGAAATAGTAGATTACGTACCTCAGGTGAAGTAGGCTACTTCATAACTCATGTCTGCTGCAACAGATGGCACGCAATGCATAGTCGTCTACTAGAGTTTCGTCTCGTTGTGCCTTTTGGCTTCGTATAAGGGGGTGAATGTTCGAACTTCCGGCAGAGATGTGACGAAAATAAATTTTATTTGGTACATTTTACTTTTACTTTTAATCATAAATACAACGTCGTCCTAGTTACATGAGATCAAAGTGCAATAATTTAACTGTCATTCCTACGTTGACATTTTAATAGAATACATTGAAAAATAGAGTTCAGTATTATTTGTTTTCCACTATGCAAATTGGTAAAGACTTAGGTAAGAACAACATCAACCAAAAAATATTCTTTCCTTTTAGGCAAATTAATTGTTAGTCGGATCTGTCTAAAAGTACATGTATAAAAACCTTGCACTTCTTCAGAAAGCTATAAATTAAAGTACTTGATCTAGTCAAAGAGGCGACTACGAAATACTGCTACTAAGTTATTGAATACACCAAATGAAATTTGAGCATTCTACTTGTAGGAAAATATGAGATGTCATATTTTAAATAGAAAAAATCGGTAGTCTACATTAGATAGTTACTAAATAAGTAAGCTTTCATCAGAAACGGCAGCTTATTTATGAAAGGGTGACTTTAACACCAATTGAAAACTTGAATATTCTATCTTTAGGAAAAATATAGGTTTGTCATACTCCAGACTGCCAGAAACTCACATGTAACGCTGGCAATGTCATCAAACACTAAATCAGAAATGAAATGATCTACCCAGAACTCGTTTAGGTAACAAATAGTATCAATTTCCAATAAACTAACGTCTCGCCCACATATTAAGGGCTTCTTCATTTTTCTTATTGAAAATTACCTTGTTACCTGAATAAGTTCTGAGTAAGTCATCTCATTGATAAGTATCAGAGCGAAATACGGAACTAAATATGTATAAGAAGGTTTTTACTAACGATAGGTTCATTTTTTACATTTATTTATACTGTTTCATAAATACGTGACCGACGAAACTTTACATTTTGTTGTTATCTAAAATTCATTGAAGATAATTTTACAAAATATCAAAGCTGTCAATTTGGGTTCTGATTTGAGGACACCTCATTTTTGATTTCAGTATTGTTCAAAATATTAAAGAGAAATATGGCAAAAGTTCCTGACTATACAATATATAAGATAGATGAGATACCAGAATTAAAAAAAGTAAGAGATAAGTTGAAAAAAGAAGGACTATGCAATCCATGGCTGAGAAATGAAGCATGGCGTTTTAATCGTAAGTATTTTTTGACTCAACGCCAGAGAACATTCAAACTGTTTGCGAGGGGCTTCCCATTGGGTGCCGCTTTAACTGCTTTGACACTTGGTATCGAAATGATGATTGGGGATGAACATGGAGGCCATGGAGACCATGAAGAAGATCCATGCAAAAATCTGGAAACCCATGAAGATCATGGAGGTCATGAAAAAAAGGTGGAAGAACCAAGTAAGAAGTGAGAAGAAGAATTGTACATTCATGGACTCATTGACATCCAGAGCAAAGACAAGTTTACATGGAAATGAACATATCTAGGGTTCAAAAGGGAATTCACTATGTATAATTTTATTTATGGGTTATGTAGTGCATGACTTGTGTCAAAATAAAAAATAACAAGAAGATTGAATAATAAGTAATAGATCGAAACTTATCGTAACACATACCTACAGGCCTGACGCTGGAATCTGGCGGAAATTTTAAAATGGCGTGAATGCGCGGTGGGAAAAGTAGGCAGTTTTAGGTATAAAGATTGCAGCCCTCATTTTTCAGTATTTCTATCAGGGGCGTAGATTAAATATTAAAAAGCAGGGATCAGTGAGCAAGTAATAGACAGACAAACAGAAGAACTAATTGTTGATGTTGGTGACAGTGATAGAGATTCCGATGATGTCAGTGAATGTGAAAACTAACTATAAAACAAATGCAATAGGTTTATTTTTTCTTTTTGATAAGTCATGTTTTTACATTATTTTCTAGTATGCTACTGTCCCATCTGTATTAATACTATAATTTACGCCTACTAAAAGCTTATTTGTGTATCGGTTCCAAGTGACTTACCCAAATAGGTCATAAATGGGTAAGTACCTGCGCGACCGCTCGCCAGCTTCCTTCGTCAGACCTGCACAATTATATAGCACAAACTATCACTGACTCCAAAACAAGGGCGTCACTATTAAAAACAACAGTTCGAAGTTCTGGTGACGCGTTAATTTCTCCAATCGCTTTCTTTTGACTATCGCCAATCACCCAAGTAGGAAATTTTTTATGACAAAATGTTATCCTTTCTGAAGTATTTTCAGATAAATATTTTCCTTGTCATATTTTATTAATTTGGGAGTTACCATTACGTGTAGGTACATGTCGTTAGAGACTTTTTTACAAGTCTTTTTAAATTCTAAAATTTCTCTGCAGAAAGCATTCTTACCCTTACAGGTGCGGTCGTAAGAAACGTATTAGTTAGATCGCTGTTTCGCGACCTACGTTGTAAAATTGGTCTCCACGATCTTTATATTATTAGTACACGCAGATTTGTGAAGGAGATTATCTCTTCAAATGCAAATGATGTACCATTTTCTTTGTTTATTAGGCTTTATCTGAGCATCATTAATTTTTAACAGCAAGTAATGTTCAAATATCTGCTGTATGTTACCTTACTACTATTGTTTGTTCCAAAACAGCAATCTTTACAGCCCATTACAATTTGTTAGAATTGTGACCCTGAAGAAATCTGCGCGAAGGTAGAAGGAATACACACTAGGCGTGAGTAAGACATAAATAGTTGGAACAAGCTTGAACGAGCAGAGCTATCGACGGGGGGTCTTAGGAGATCGGCTAGAACTGTACAGTACTAGACGAAAATGTTTTGCAATTTCTTAAAACAAAAATGTATATAAATTAAGAATAGAAAACAAAGCAAAAGTTTTATAGGTGTGTAGAGCGTTAACTTAATTCACTTGTTACTATTTTTGGCTAACAAATCGGTTGCCTGTAAAGTCGGTTTACTGACGATAGTTGAACGTGACAACGTCATAAGAAAATACTGATGGAATGGTTTCATTTTTCAAAAGAAAATTTTAATTTTATTTGTTTGATAGATATTTTGTATATATATAGAGAAGGAGGTAAATGGAAAACACAATTGAATTGATCAAGTTACATTTATTTGTACGCATGAATACAATTATGTCAATTTTAATTTATTTTTTTTTCCAATGTACATAGTTTTTACAAGTATGAGTGTGCTTTGAGTAATTGTTTTACAACTTTTAAACATCATTAAAATTTTTGTAACTCTAGCTTCAATTCGACAACATATCACTGAACATATATTTATTATTTGAAAGAATCATTACATTTATCGCCGCAATCATCGTTGCTATAAACAATTCACACCACATTCACTTTTCACTGCACTTCATACTTGACTAAAACATGTAAATGTATTATTGTATAGCAGCTGTCCACGCGGACGCATCGCTCACTCAAGTAGGAGAGAGACAGATGTCGAACGCTGCCGAACGCGGAGGCCGATTGTGCTTCTTTGTCGCTCTCTCTTGCACTTCAAGCCTTAAATTGAACGCCTCAGAGCGAGGTAACGCCGCATGAGTCATGTTTTTTCGTGCGTGCAGCCAACTCCATCGAATTATAAGACGTTGTCACGTCAATATGCTTTTAAATAAAGCATATTCTTAAATTTTAACGAGGCAGTTTAAATAATTTTGCAAATGGTACTGTACACTTTTGTCTAGTTCTCGCTCGATGATCGGTGGAGAAATGAGCTCCGCAGACAAATATGATTGAATTTGGAATTATGCTACGGCGCATCCTAATAAAGGGAAGGGGCATATCTCTAACTTCTTGAAACGAACAGTATATGTCAGCCGGTTTGTTCGTGTCATAGAGGTTAGAGAAGGAGAACAAACGAAATATGTGAACTTACATTAGTTATTAGCTTTAACATTGTAGAAATTATAGGTAGCGCTGGCGTCAGTAATTTTGTCTTTCAAAAGCAAAAATGGCAACCTTGATCAAGCTCAATATGAGCTAATATTGTGTTAACATGGCGATCGCAGCGCCTACTTTCTTTAACAAATCCCGCATAATCCTTATGAAAAATCGGCTCTGGTCAAATTGATTGTAATTGGAATATAAAATTGCTTTCGAATTTCTGATCAAAAATTCTCATATGCACGAGGGACACGACTTTCTGCATATTCAATGTATAAGTGGAATTAGGATATTCAATCGATTTTCTCTTTAGGTAGGTACTCTAGATATGCAGAAACGTTCAATATGCTAAGCATCAACAGCAAATCAAATATCCACATGAAGCTTTGCTGCATTCGATACAAGATATGCAGGTGGCAGTAGGAACCTGGAATGCGTTGAAAGCATACTTGAAATTGAAGACTAGATAAAACTGCCATGCAACCTCTGTATCATATACCTTGGGTCACGCTAATGCAGGCGACTAAAGGACAGAGAATATTAATTTGCGGTAGAGAATTATGGTTCTATACGAATTTCAGGCGCATCTTACATTTATCGATATTTTGGATGAGTGTGCGCACGCGTGCACCTTTTATTCATATATCAAAATTAATACATTTCCGATTAAAAAAATACATGATTTTGAAATGAACTTGGATGTCACCATTCCTGACTCTCCTTTTTTATTAAACACTCCTATACATACCTGAAGTGAGAATCGGTTGAATATCTTTATCGTTATAAGGTCGTTAGTCCTAAGACTAGACACGCACCTCTACTCCTTATTATCTTAAGCTAAACTTTCCTTAAAACTAAAATATTCCACATCCTCAACTATTTGTGAACAGTGATCTAATCTAGGTCTAACACTACTCTTAACTCCTGTTTATGCTTCTAATATGTCTCAGAGTAGACCCTTATACCTGAGAAGGTGTCCTACTAACCTATGTCGCCCATTTTTTATTCGTTTCCTTGACCCTGCGCTATGCTCTGTTTTATATCTCTGTTGCTCCTTCCATCCTTACTTATCTGACTTCCTAGATATCAAAAATCAGTCGCTTCTTCTAATTTCTCATCTCCTACCTTTATATTCGCTTTTTCCTTGCCTTTTCTTTCCTTGCATACCAGTATCATTCTTTTACTTTTATTTATTTTCATATAATACTGTTTTGTCAATACCGGTTCCATTTTATTTAAAGCTATCTCTAACTCCTCCTTATTAGATGGTAATACTGCTATATCATCTGCAAATCTAAACATATCAATTTTTGACGTGACAACGTCTTATAATTCGATGGAGCCGGCTGCACGCATGAAAAAACATGATTCATGCGGCGTTACCTCGCTCTGAGGCGTTCCATTTAAGGCTTGAAGTGCAAGCGAAAGCGCGGAACGAGCGACAAAGAGGCACAATCGGCCTCCGCGTTTGACATCTGTCTCTCTCCTACTTGAGTGAGCGATGCGTCCGCGTGGACAGCTGCTATACAATAATACATTTACATGTTTTCGTCAAGTATGAAGTGCAGTGAAAAGTGAATGTGGTGTCAATTGTTTATAGCAACGATAATTGCGGCGATAAAGGTAATTATTCTTTCGATATTAAATATATGTTCAGTGATATATTGTCGAATTGAAGCTAGAGTTACAAAAATTTTAATGGTGTTTAAAAGATGTAAATAAAAGTTGTGAAACAATTGCTCAAAGCACATTCATACTTGTAAAAACTATGTATATTGGAAAAAAGAATAAATAAAAATTGACATAATTGTATTTATGCGTACAAATAAATGTAACTTGATCAATTCAATTGTGATTTCCATTTACCTCCTTCTCTATATCCATACAAAATATCTATCAAACAAATAAAATTAAAATTTTCTTTTGAAAAATGAAACCATTCCATCAGTATTTTCTTATAACGTTGTCACGTTCAACTATCGTCAGTAAACCGACTTTACAGACAACCGATTTTTTTTTTGCTTGTATATCTGTCGCCTACAGTTTTACTGTCTTTAATGATGTTGATCGTGTCTTCGATGTATATAGATTAAAAAGTAGCGGTGACAGTGTGCATCGATGTCTGAATCCCTTCCTATTATTTACTTCTCTACGTTGTTGTTCAAGCACTATACTTGTACTCATGTAACTGTCTGTTGCTATTTATACAAACTGAATAATATCTTACCAATTATGTAATAGATAGGCTAAAAAGTGAGCGCTATATTGACCTGTAGATCAGAAATTATGTGTTTCTTAATCCTGTGTTGATTTGAAACTTTCAATCAGAAAATCGTAGAGAATATCGTATTGCTATTACAACCGATTTGACCGAAGTCGATTGAATGAAAATGTTTTAACAACAAAGAAGAGAGAGTTAAAATCATATTCTCAAAAAGGGGTTCTTTTAATAATAAATAATTCTGCACCATGTTCATTAAAAAAAGGGAAATATAAGACAGAATTTAGACTGATGCAGATTTCAAGAGTTTCGCCTAATTTTGCAATTTATTTTTAATGATCCGTATATTATGCTTACTATGTCAAGTTTAGTAAAAGTATTTTTAATATTCCTCCCA